AAATGAGAAAATGATCGGCAAATGATCGGCAAAATGATCAACAAATGTGATAATATGAAGTATGTCCACCCTGCTTATGGGACCTTTGCAATAGAAACTACCTATTACTAATCACAAAAATCACACAAAGACTGGTAGTTTCCCCTTTTTCTATTGCAAAGTCCCCATAACGAAAATTATTTTTTATTTGAATAACAAATTAATCATGAGTACAACAAATATGAGGCAAGTAAATATTAAATTCTCAGCAAAAACTATTCAGCTTCTAACCTACATTACGATTTTTAGCCCTTATCTCATACTTAAATCTTCTGGAAAAATTATCTTATCGTGGATTCTTGGTCCGTTGCCGCGATGTGATCGCTACTTCGTCGGTTACGAGCGACTGGAAGACCCTTGATAATTTTTGGAGCGGTAGATTTTTAAACGAAGCAAAACGGCTATTGAAGCAGAGTGATTTTAATGATTTAAATAATAAGGTGTGTTTCATTTTTATTTTGCAAAGGGAGGGCAACTCACAGTCGAGCGCGTTTTTGACTCAGGAGAAGTACTGAGTTGTTTGCTTAGTATACTCAAAGTCTTAAGTTCAGGGACCCTTTGTTAAGTTTGAGAATCAAAATCATGAGATACACTGCTAATAATCTACTTTCTCATAATAGGTAATAATAAAGCGTTCGGAAAAATGGATAGAGCCGTATTGGAAGGGGCTGAAAGTGGAACACAACGACAAAGAGAATCAACCAAGTAGGTCTTATCTTACTTGTTAATAATATATCACAAGCAAACATTCCTGCTTATTAATTGTTTTATATTTCCATTAGAATCTAAGAGGAAAAGATTTACAGAAGTTGAAGTTTTGTCAACGATTCCTCTACCCATATGGGAGCGTTTCCAGTAAAATCACATTACGGATCATATGATTTACTATGTCTCATGACTTGATTTTACTGGAAACGTTCCCATATATTATCCAGATCTGGAAAAAAGTACCACTACCACAAAATCAAGTACTGCACGTACTCCAGATCTAGTTGAAGATGTTAAATTTCATCAATTTGGTGAAACGATTAAAAACCAAAGTTTCATCATTATGATGATATAGATGATATTCCAACGACGAAGATGTAAGACAGGCTCTTTCTGTGAATCTTTATGGAAATCTAAATTCGATAACGGTTCTACGCGAACCTAGAGAAAGATTCAAGCGGATTTAAAAAGAAGATCAAGTTAAGGGGGAGCCTGATTTCATTTACAAACAGCGTGATAAATTAATGTTAGTAGTTGAAGTGAAGACCGCGTGGGTTTTAAAGTTGGAGGTCGATAAGTCACTTAATGAAAAGTATGAAGATGATCTGGAGAGGCAAAATAATGAAACAATACCCCCAAACTGTGGCGAAATTTCGGTTGTAGACATAATACGCCAGATTTTTGGGTACATGGTTGTAAATCATTTGCAGTATGGGATTCTATCGACTTACAACCAAAACTGGTTCCTTAAAAGGCCCAAAGGTGAACCACGAGCCCTTGAAATTTCTCCGACAATAGATGTAAGTTCGGGGAATCCTTCGATTTTCAAATGCTACGCGTATATTTTTGAACTGTCGAGAATAGATACTGCTTACTCTAGCCCAGGGACAACACCGCCATCACCGCCATCATCTAGTTATGATGATGGTTATAGTTCGAATAATAATACATCAGAATCCGACTATGATATGATTTACTATGTCTCGTACCTCAATTTTATAAGTTTCGCTTCAGTCGTAAAGAAACCGAGGGAACCGAACAACAAATAAAAACCGAAACGCCAACGAAAATCAAAACAATCGAATTACTGTATAATTTTTATTGTATTTTATGTATTTTTTTTTTGTATAAAAATCTGACCCTGGAGGTCGTGTATAATCTTTACTACGTGTTGTAATTGTACCGCAAACATGACATGATGGAAGGTAACTGTCACTTTCTATAAATAAGATGATCAAATTATCAAGAACCTAATCAATTTAATGCACCACACGGAGTATTTGTTGCTAGTAATTAAATTAATAGGCAAATCCTTGCAAAAAAAAAAAATACATACAATTAAACTTTTCGAATCTAAAACATTTTTCACTTTAAGGATTGAAAATCGAATTAATCGAAATCGAATAAAAAAATCGAATATCTTAAGCAACGCAGTAAATTTTTTTTTAAAGTAAAAAAAAAATTGGATAATTAAAAATAAAACTGGCAGAAAAAAAAATCACAGCCCTATGCAAAGTAGAAATAAAAAATTTAAAAACGAAATTAAATAAAAATAAAAGAACACGTAACAAACAAAAAAATAAAAAAATAAAATGAGAAAACACTTTCCTATTTATTTTATTTAATTAATGTAATTAATGCAACCATTATTTTCATATTGAATTTGTGTTGATTTTATTATTGAATAATAACATTATCATATTTTTTATCCTCTTCATCATACTCTTAGTGAAAAATGTAGAAAATAATAAAACTTCTACATATAAGGTTTAAGTAATTAGCACAACATTAAACATTTTGTCGCACAAAATGATGGACCGAAAATTTTTTTTAAAAAAATAATTTTTTGTTCATCACATTTAATTCCCAAATATGATAGCAGGCGTTTACGATATACCGGAAATTACTCCCACCTTGCTAAATGAACTCCTAAAGGTATAATTTATTATTCATTATTATTAAAAGAAGATATGATTTGCTTTATTTATTTATTGATTTAAATTTTTTTTTGTATACTTACAGGAACTGGATGATCATAGCAGAAAAGTAGCTATTACTATCAAAAATTTTTCGTCACGAATAATTTTTGAGGAACCTGAAGTACATATTGAATATGGAACATCTAATTTTGGTCTTCCTACCGATCAACTTTCAAAAGATAAAGGTTTGGTCTGGGGAGCTCGTAAGATTGCTGGGGTGTTTGGAGGTACTGTAGGAGTTATTGCGTACCATTTCCAAGATCGTAATGAATCCTTGGTCTTTATGTGGAGTGTCCCATTAAATTACGTCTTTTACTCAAATTGGTGGAATATTAAAGTTTATAATGGTCATGTTAAAGCTAATCAAGGTAAGAGTCTCATCATATCTAAACTTATCATCACAATATTTAACCTTGTGTTATTGGTCTAGAATTATTTGAGAAAATATACAATGACCTTCCTCATGAGGGAGATGGTAAAATGTACCGCGGAATTCTAAGTACCGATTTGCTATTCAAGGGTACGATGAAAAAATCTGGAATAACCACTATTGTAATTGAGGTCCAAAATTATAGTTCAACTCCTCCTGTTAGAGAAATCAATCGAAATTAGGGAGGCAATTTCTAAAGTTAACAGAATTTATAATGGTATATTATTGATTCTTTCTTTTCATTCTTTATTACAAAATGTATTCCATTTTTATCATTTTAATTTTTGACATCTTATTATTTGCTTCGCTTATCAAGGGAATTGGATTCGAAAAATCATTCTCAAGATGGGCTCACCTTTTTTAATATGTATATGTAATTCCTATATATTTGGATATTTTTAGGTTGTAGTAAAGTGTTGAAATTTTAATAGTCAACTTAAATCGGATAAATTTAAAAAATATTTCATATTAAGTGTAAAAAAAAATCTCGAAATCCTTCAAGAATTGCTGCGCGTTTATTGAGAATCTATAACTTTCGTATATAATAAGAATTTCAATGACTTAAAATTACCTTTATTTGATCATTATCATTATAAGGTCTCAACGAACGAAATCATCTTATTGCGTGTTTTAAAAACGAGATTATTATTGCACATCTATAGGCACATTATCAAAGAGGAGAAAGGTTTCCTGTGATAATTTTTCATTACTAATAGTTCCGAAGAACTCTAATTATGTTTACAAAGATCCATTTTAGTCGAAAATAGAAAAGAAAGTATGATCAATTTTGCGCAGTAATTCACACGTACAACTTAGAGGCACAAAACAACTCCACTTAATGCCTATATATAGAACCGAAGGTTACACAAAATGATCATACTTAAGTGTCCATTTAATTTTTTTTTTTTCATTACTTTAAACATGATAGCAGGTGTTTACCAGATTCCGGACATTACTCCAACGTTGTTAATAGATCTCCTTAATGTAATTAAATTTCTTCATTTATTAAATTTAAGTTGTTGCTTTTATCGTTATTTATTTAATTAATTTTTTTTTTATACAGGAACTAGGAGATTTTAACAGAAAAGTTGCTATTACTATCAAAAATCTTTCGTCGCAAATAACTTTTGAGAAACCTGAAGTTTATATTGATTCTGGAACATCTAATTATGGGCTTCCTATGAATGAACTATCAAGTAATAAAGGGTTGGTTTGGGGTGCTCGTAAGACTTCTGGTTTTATTGGAGGAACCGTAGGAGTTCTTGTGTACCAGCTCAAAGAACGTAATGAATCTTTGGTCTTTATGTGGAGCGTTCCATATAACTACGTCTTTTACTCAAATTGGTGGAATATTAAAGTTTTTAAAGGTCGTGTCAGAGCTAACCAAGGTAAGAATTTTAGGTTTTTGCTTATTCAAACTAATCATCATGATATTTATCATTGTGTCATTGTTCTAGCATTATACGACAGGATGTATCATGACCTCCCGCATGAAGGAGATAATAACATTTATCGCGGAATTCTAAATTCTGACCTTTTATACTCGGGATCAATGGGAAACTCTGGAACCCCTACCATTGAAGTTGAGATTTTAAATTATACAACTACAATAACTTCTTCCGCTTCTGTTAGCGAGAAACGAAATTATTAAAATAATTCCAAGTTTAGTGATTTTAGATTCATTCGAGTTTGAAAATTTTTTGGGTTAACCTTTTAATAAATAAATAAATATTTTTTTTCATTCTCGTTTCTTAAAGCAACTTCATGCTCTTTTTTTAATGCCAAATATCTTTCTATTAGTGAGTGAATGATATAAAATAGCAAGTTCATTAAAATGATTATTATTATGGTTAATTTATTAATGTTAAAACGTGAATTTTTTTCGCATTTTACGAACGATTAAAGGATATCAGATGCTGGTTTAATGAACTTGACTCAAGTTCTATGCAAACCCTTATGAAAAAAAAAAATAGCTATGTAATTCACATCCGGATTTCACCCGAAGCTTAAATAATATGAATTTACATACATCTTTTCCAAAGATGCAAAATCAATGTACTGTATTATTAAATAAAAAAAATATAAAAAAAATCATGCGATGACAAGATGAAAAATTGATTTTATAAACTTTTTATACATGAGTGGAGTCGTGCGTGCGTGTATTACCTAAGATGACTAGTAAAAAAAAAAAATTGAGACATTTTTGAAAAAGAAATCCTTAAATTTCATTTTAAAAGGTATTGAAACTATTAATGAAAATAGCTTTTATATTTCTTGCGTTTTTATTATAACTTCTGTCATAGATTGATAAAACTATGCTATGAAATATAATTTATTTTATGATTTCTCGATATTATTTTTTATTATTAATGTTTTGAAAATTTTTAATTTTTATCGATTAACTTAACTTACGCTCGCCTCTTAATTTATATTTTTAAATATGCGTGATTTGCGAAAGAAAGAATATTTATAAAAATTTTTAAATTAGAATATCGTAGGTTTAAATGGCGAATCAATACAAGAAAAACGAAAAATAAAACTATTAAAGATGGTTAAAGTTCATCAAATAACTACGCTTTATGTCTCGAACATATTGTTGTTCACGTGCAGCCATTTCGTATAAATTAATTTTAATTGGTATTGGGACTTTTCTTGGATAAAAAAAAAGATAAAGTTAAAGCTTTTATCGTAATTATTTAACCTGAAAGGATTTTATTTGTTATAATAATTTGTTTTAGAATTATGCAGAAACGTCGTCTATAATCACAGCACCACCAAGGGGGGTCACATAAATTGTTTTACAGTAGATTAATCAAAATAAAAATTTTTTATAAATAGTAAGTTTAACAAGATTTCGTAATGTTTGAATAATAATTTAAAAATTTTGCCGCCAATATTTTAATACCTATTACTCCTATAAATAAACAAAATAATATATTAAAAATTTTGAAATGAAGACAAGTTTGTATAATAATAATATTAATTACCTACGATGCGATGAAAAACGATAGCAGCCGGAATTGCAACAAATATGTCTTTTTGGATAGCGATGACCATAATCATTACCGGGGCATGTACTGTAAATTGCCTCTTCAATCAATTTTCAGTAATTTTCAACAGCTAAACGGCATAAATGAATGCTACAATGACGATAACGTAAAGAGTCTTTTCTTTGGATTAAAAAACAATTTTAAAAAACCTTTTTTTTTTATGTGGATTTTGGTTAGCATTATACATAAGAAGACAGATCGAATTGTGTCAAAAATGACCCCGGATTATATCTTATAGAATGTAGAAATTTATTTCATGCAAAAGTTTGAGCATTGGTTAATCTAAACGGAATATGTCAGAATGCCAAAGATATTTTTCATAAAATTATTTTTTTGCTCATGATTCTATCATGTACTCAATAAATTTATAGCTGATTTCGTAATTCTTTGAGTAATAGCAACGTGTCTAAAACGTTTGCAGTGACGGTTGTTTGGGAGAAAAGTCTCTGCAATAATGCTTTAGTCAGAGAGAGAGTTATCGTTAGGAGCACTTCCTGAAGTCGAAGCAAAAAGTTCAGGTTGACTTTCTTTAGGGTCGAAACGAAACTTATTTTTCTGAGCGGTTTGCGAATTATCGCTTCGCTAAATTAAAAAAATTTAATTAAACTAAGAATTATATAATCTTATTAAAATATTTTAATTATTTACCTGACTTTTTTCATAATTGTAAGCTTTTTGATAAATTGCCTTACGCTGATCCTAAATAAATAAAGATTATATAATAAAAAAGGTATATAAGTTACTAAACATTATAATAATAAATATAAATATAAATTTTTTTTAAAAAATCAGAATTACTAAAGTATTTTATGAGTAATATGCTGACGGATGATTATGAGATACACAAAGGCATTGCTCATATCAAACCTAGTATTTATGAATAGCAAAATAGCCAAATACCCAATGATATAACTCATATACTTATAAGTATATT